TGAAAAAGTATTGCCATCACAAACTACAGGGTGATTTTAAGGAACTTGTAAAAATAAAAGTTTCTACTCTACACAAACACTCTGATATATCAAGAAGTAATTTTTTTAGAGGAAATCCAGTAGCTTCATCTGAAAGCCTACGAAATTCTCTACAAACCCTGAAAATTTGAGCAATTTACGATTTTTTTTTCAAAAAGTTATAGATGGTCAAATATTTATTAGGTAGAATATTGAAAAATATAGAGCTGTTCAGGCTTTCGAATTTAGAATCTTGAAATTTTTCTAAGATACATGGCCTAATGTTTAAATTTTCAGAAATTATAGAGAATTTTAGAGATTTTTAAATGGGATAGTAATGATGTTGAAAAAATATTGCCATCATCTACTACAGGGTGAATTTGAGGAACCTGCAAAAATTAAAATATCTGAAAGAACACTTTGTATATCAAGGAGTAATTTTTTTAGAGAAAATTCAAAAATTTCATCTGAAAGCGTATGAAATTCTCTACAAATCCTGAAAGTTTGAGTAATTTAGGTTTTTTTTTCTAAAAGTTACAGAGGGACAAAAATTATCAGGTAGAATATTGAAAAATATTTAGTTGTTCAGGCTTTCAAATTTAGATTCTTGAAACTTTTCTAAGACACATGGCCCAATGTTTAATTTTTTAGGAATTATAGAGAATTTTAGGGATTTTTAAATGGGCTACCGAAGATATTGAAAAAGTATTGCCATCACAAACTACAGGGTGATTTTAAGGAACTTGTAAAAATAAAAGTCTCTACTCTACATAAACACTCTGATATATCAAGAAGTAATTTTTTTTAGAGGAAATCCAATAACTTCATCTGATAGCCTATGAAATTCTCTACAAACCCTGAAAATTTGAGCAATTTACGATTTTTTTTTCAAAAAGTTATAGATGGTCAAATATTTATTAGGTAGAATATTGAAAAATATAGAGCTGTTCAGGCATTCGAATTTAGAATCTTAAAACTTTTCTAAGACACATGGCCTAATGTTTAAATTTTCAGGAATTATAGAGAATTTTAGAGATTTTTAAATGGGGTATTAATGATGTTGAAAAAATATTGCCATCATCTACTACAGGGTGATTATAAGGAACCTGCAAAAATAAAAATATCTGAAAGAACACTTTGTATATCAAGGAGTAATTTTTTTAGAGGAAATTCAAAAATTTCATCTAAAAGCGTATGAAATTCTCTACCAGCCCTTGAAGTTTGAGTAATTTATGATTTTTTTTCTAAAAGATGTAGAGGGTCAAAGATTATCAGGTAGAATATTGAAAATATTGAGTTGTTCAGGCTTTCAAATTCAGAATCTTGAAACTTTTCTAAGACACATGGCCCAATGTTTAATTTTTTAGGAATTATAGAGAATTTTAGAGATTTTTAAATGGGCTACCGAAGATATTGAAAAAGTATTGCCATCACAAACTACAGGGTGATTTTAAGGAACTTGTAAAAATAAAAGTTTCTACTCTACACAAACACTCTGATATATCAAGAAGTATTTTTTTTAGAGGAAATCCAGTAACTTCATCTGAAAGCCTACGAAATTCTCTATAAACCCTGAAAATTTGAGCAATTTACGATTTTTTTTCAAAAAGTTATAGAGGGTCAAATATTTATTAGGTAGAATATTGAAAAATATAGAGTTGTTCAGGCTTTCAAATTTAGAATCTTGAGAAACTTTTCCAAGACACATGGCCTAATGTTTAATTTTCAGTAATTATAGAGAATTTTGGAGATTTTCAAATGGGGTACTGAAGATATTGAAAAAGTATTGCAATCACAAACTACAGGGTGATTTTAAGGAACTTGTAAAAATAAAAGTCTCTACTCTACATTAACACTCTGATATATCAAGAAATAATTTTTTTAGAGGAAATCCAATAACTTCATCTGAAAGCCTATGAAATTCTCTACAAACCCTGAAAATTTGAGCAATCTACGAATTTTTTTCAAAAAGTTATAGAGGGTCAAATATTTATTAGGTAGAATATTGAAAAATATAAAGTCGTTCAGGCTTTCAAATTTAGAATCTTGAAACTTTTCTAAGACACATGGCCTAATGTTTAAATTTTCAGAAATTATAGAGAATTTTAGAGATTTTTAAATGCGATACTAATGATGTTAAAAAAATATTGCCTTCATCTACTACAGGGTGAATTTAAGGAACCTGCAAAAATTAAAATATCTGAAAGAACACTTTGTATATCAAGGAGTAATTTTTGTAGAGAAAATTCAAACATTTCATCTGAAAGCGTATGAAATTCTCTACAAATCCTAAAAGTTTGAGTAATTTAGGTTTTTTTTTCTAAAAGTTACAGAGGGTCAAAAATTATCAGGTAGAATATTGAAAAATATTTAGTTGTTCAGGCTTTCAAATTTAGAATCTTGAAACTTTTCTAAGACACATGGCCCAATGTTTAATTTTTTAGGAATTATAGAGAATTTTAGAGATTTTTAAATGGGCTACCGAAGATATTGAAAAAGTATTGCCATCACAAACTACAGGGTGATTTTAAGGAACTTGTAAAAATAAAAGTCTCTACTCTATATAAACACTCTGATATATCAAGAAGTAATTTTTTTTAGAGGAAATCCAATAACTTCATCTGAAAGCCTATGAAATTCTCTACAAACCCTGAAAATTTGAGCAATTTACGATTTTTTTAAAAATAGTTATAGAGGGTCAAATATTTATTAGCTAGAATACTGAAAAATTTAGAGTTGTTCAGGCTTTCGAATTTAGCATCTTAAAACTTTTCTAAGACACATGGCCTAATGTTTAAATTTTCAGAAATTATAGAGAATTTTAGAGATTTTTAAATGGGATACTAATGATGTTGAAAAAATATTGCCTTCATCTACTACAGGGTGAATTTAAGGAACCTGCAAAAATTAAAATATTTGAAAGAACACTTTGTATATCAAGGAGTAATTTTTTTAGAGAAAATTCAAAAATTTCATCTGAAAGCGTATGAAATTCTCTACAAACCCTGATAGTTTGAGCAATTTACGATTTTTTTTCAAAAAGTTATAGAGGTTCAAATATTTATTAGGTAGAATATTGAAAAATATAGAGTTGTTCAGGCTTTCAAAGTTAGAATCTTGAAACTTTTCTAAGACACATGGCTCAATGTTTAATTTCTCAGGAACTATTGAGAATTTTAGAGATTTTGAAATGGGGTACTGATGATATTGAAAAAATATTGCCATCACAAACTACAGGGTGATTTTAAGGAACTTGCAAAAATAAAAATATCTCAAAGAACACTTTTTATATCACAGTAATTTTTTGACAGAAAATCCAAATAGTTCATCTGAAAGCCTGTGAAATTCTTCACAAACCCTGATAGTTTGAGCAATATACGATTTTTCTCCAAAAAGTTATAGAGGCTCATAGATTATCAGCTAAAATATTCAAAAATCTTGGGTTTCAAATTTAGAATCTTGGAATATCAAAGAAATTCAACCAAAACAAGGTTTTCAAGCTTATTCTGGAAATTTTAAATGGAGTGTGAATAAAATTGAATTCAATTTCCTTGAAAATAACGCAAGACTTAACATGAAGCTCTAGTAATAAAAAAGTTATGACTTTTACTGTAGAGTATTTCCATCATGTAAATAATTTCCAAGACTAAAAATTCGCATCAGTAGTCAGACCAAACATCCTATCAGAATTTCTTATCCGGCATATATAATTTAAGACACGTATATACATATATACTTGATTTATTAACGAAATATCGCTGGCATGAATATATGATACGTTACATTTACATACATATAAGATTAGGGGCTAATTTCGAGCCTCGGCGAAAAGGGATGCACTTTACTTTAGGGGCCGCAAAACGTGGAGATCTTTTATTTGTTCCCGGAGTCTTTCGAAAAACGGGGACAAAGACAATCATGAAGTTAGTTCGGGCAGAAAGTTTTAACTGCTTCCTTTTTGGTACTTTGTTGAAAGGAGCGCCTGCTGTGACACACAAAAAAGAAAGTATTTATTAATTTAATTATTTTTTGTTACAGGGCAGTAGCAAAAATTAATTATTCGTTGGACAATATAATTTAAATAAAACAATAATGAAACTGTTTTTTTTGGACCACTGGATACATTTCAAACAGTGTTTATTTTTATGCCTGTTTAATTATTATTGTCTGTCCATGTGCCCAAAATCAATTTTGATGATTTTGGCCATTTGAGTCACATAAAAAAAATTATATAATAAAATAATATAATGAAATATTCACTGTGAAGCGTGTCAGGACACGAAAAGTGCCGACTTCGCTAATATCCTGGAACATCATAGGTTCATGTCGAAACAAGGTTAGATAGTAATTGAATTTAAAGTTAGGAAAAATTATTATTTAAATTATTTTGACTTTGATTAAAATATCAATTGATAAATCAGTATGATGTCATCAGTTGACTAACTCAACCTAGTAGGGTCAAGCCTTTTTCACCTGAAATCTATAGTGAAGCTACTATAGTGTAGTAGCGAACATGCAAAGATTTAGGGTATTCCCGAAGTCTTTTCATGGTCCTTCGAGCTGGATCTATAGTAGAGTAGTAGCGAGAAGACAAAGATTCGCGGAAATCCCGAAGTCTTTTGATTGTCATTACATCAAAAAATTGAAAAGAATTATTGAAATTGCAACAATTTTGTCTTTCAACTTCACTGACAAAAAAAATAAGTAGATTTATATACTAAAGTTATTTAAAACGACGGCAAAATTTCGTTTCAATTCTAAAAATAAATTAATTGTCGCCCGTGTCGGACATTAACTGGTGTAAAATGGCGTAATTTCTCGTTAATATTCATTTGGGGAACGTGACGCGAAAATGTTTTTAAAAGAGAGCCCAGCAAACCGAATTTCCTTTATTGTGACATCCGTCGCATAATGAAAATTTAACACACTGAAAAAGCGACCATTAAAAACACTAAAATTTTTTTTGTTTTTTTCTGTTGCAGCTACCGGTTCGTATGACGTCGAAGCTGTTTTGGGCAAAGTTGCCAAGTTACCGTGCGATATTGAGCCGGCGGAAGACAATGATCGAGTGCACATTATTATATGGTTTAAGGAGATTCGGAACAAGTCGGATCCTGATGCCAAAGGGAAACGAATACCGATTTTTTCGTGAGTATTTTTTTTTTTGGATCAAAGTAGCTTTTTCCCTGTCATAGATAAAATGACACAAATTTGGCAAGAGCGACAGACATAATTTGAATATCTCTATAATGACATTAGCTGTCCAAGAAAATCATCCTCAGTATTTCAATTTTTATCTATTCTCGGCTCTTGGATTTTCCTTTTCTCCTAAATTTCTTTAGATAAGATAAGAATTGCTGAAATTTTTTTTTTCGAGATTTTGTATTTCAATGGTCCATCAGCATACCCCAAGCTCCATACAGTAAATTATTCTCAGATTTGAAGCCGAAATCTATGAAAAAAGGCACTCAGAAAAATTGAAAAATTGATAAATCATCCCAAATTGCTTAACACAATTTTATCTCAGGAACTATAAATGCAAATGAGCTGAAATTTTCAGGGATTGTAGTCCTTTAAAAGCGATAAAATTCAGTGAAAGTTTCAGCTTTCTATCTATAATAGAAAAAAAGTTATGACCTTTGAAAGTTTTCCAAAATCTAAATCATAAGGTAGGTTCCTTCTCACTAAAACGATGAAATTTCAATTTTTTTTTTGTCGAGATTTTGTATCCTTATGGTCAATCAACATACCCCAAGCTCCATGCATTAAATTATTCTCAGATTTGAAGCCGAAATCTATGAAAAAAGGCACTCAGAAAAATTGAAAAATTGATAAATCATCCCAAATTGCTTAACACAATTTTATCTCAGGAACTATAAATGCAAATGAGCTGAAATTTTCAGGGATTGTAGTCCTTTAAAAGCGATAAAATTCAGTGAAAGTCTCAGCTTTCTATCTATAATAGAAAAAAAGTTATGACCTTTGAAAGTTTTACAAAATCTAAATCATAAGGTAGGTACCTTCTTACTAAAACGATGAAATTTCAAATTTTTTTTTTTTGTCGAGATTTTGTATCCTCGTGGTCAATCAACATACCCCAAGCTCCATACACTAAATTATTCTCAGATTTGAAGCCGAAATCTATGAAAAAAGGCACTCAGAAAAATTGAAAAATTGATAAATCACCCCAAATTGCTTAGCACGATTTTATCTCAGGAACTATAAGTGCAAATAAGCTGAAATTTTCAGGAATAATAGTCCTTTGAAAGCGATAAAATTCAGTGAAAGTTTCAGCTTTCTATCTATATTAGAAAAAAAGTTATGACCTTTGAAAGTTTTCCAAAATCTAAATCATAAGGTAGGTACCTTCTTACTAAAACGATGAAATTTCAAATTTTTTTTTGGCGAGATTTTGTATCCTTATGGTCAATCAACATACCCCAAGCTCCATACACTAAATTATTCTCAGATTTGAAGCCGAAATCTATGAAAAAAAGCACTCAGAAAAATTGAAAAATTGATAAATCATCCCAAATTGCTTAACACAATTTTATCTCAGGAACTATAAATGCAAATGAGCTGAAATTTTCAGGGATTGTAGTCCTTTAAAAGCGATAAAATTCAGTGAAAGTCGCAGCTTTCTATCTATAATAGAAAAAAAGTTATGACCTTTGAAAGTTTTACAAAATCTAAATCATAAGGTAGGTACCTTCTTACTAAAACGATGAAATTTCAAATTTTTTTTTTTTTGTCGAGATTTTGTATCCTCGTGGTCAATCAACATACCCCAAGCTCCATACACTAAATTATTCTCAGATTTGAAGCCGAAATCTATGAAAAAAGGCACTCAGAAAAATTGAAAAATTGATAAATCACCCCAAATTGCTTAGCACGATTTTATCTCAGGAACTATAAGTGCAAATAAGCTGAAATTTTCAGGAATAATAGTCCTTTGAAAGCGATAAAATTCAGTGAAAGTTTCAGCTTTCTATCTATAATAGAAAAAAAGTTATGACCTTTGAAAGTTTTCCAAAATCTAAATCATAAGGTAGGTACCTTCTTACTAAAACGATGAAATTTCAAATTTTTTTTTTGTCGAGATTTTGTATCCTCGTGGTCAATCAACATACCCCAAGCTCCATACACTAAATTATTCTCAGATTTGAAGCCGAAATCTATGAAAAAAGGCACTCAGAAAAATTGAAAAATTGATAAATCACCCCAAATTGCTTAGCACGATTTTATCTCAGGAACTATAAGTGCAAATAAGCTGAAATTTTCAGGAATAATAGTCCTTTGAAAGCGATAAAATTCAGTGAAAGTTTCAGCTTTCTATCTATATTAGAAAAAAAGTTATGACCTTTGAAAGTTTTCCAAAATCTAAATCATAAGGTAGGTACCTTCTTACTAAAACGATGAAATTTCAATTTTTTTTTTGTCGAGATTTTGTATCCTTATGGTCAATCAACATACCCCAAGCTCCATGCACTAAATTATTCTCAGATTTGAAGCCGAAATCTATGAAAAAAGGCACTCAGAAAAATTGAAAAATTGATAAATCATCCCAAATTGCTTAACACAATTTTATCTCAGGAACTATAAATGCAAATGAGCTGAAATTTTCAGGGATTGTAGTCCTTTGAAGGCGATAAAATTCAGTGAAAGTTTCAGCTTTCTATCTATAATAGAAAAAAAGTTATGACCTCGGAAAGTTTTCCAAAATCTAAATCATAAGGTAGGTGGTACCTTCTTACTAAAACGATGAAATTTCAAATTTTTTTTTTGGCGAGATTTTGTATCCTCATGGTCAATCAACATACCCCAAGCTCCATACACTAAATTATTCTCAGATTTGAAGCCGAAATCTATGAAAAAAGGCACTCAGAAAAATTGAAAAATTGATAAATCACCCCAAATTGCTTAGCACGATTTTATCTCAGGAACTATAAGTGCAAATAAGCTGAAATTTTCAGAAATAATAGTCCTTTGAAAGCGATAAAATTCAGTGAAAGTTTCAGCTTTCTATCTATATTAGAAAAAAAGTTATGACCTTTGAAAGTTTTCCAAAATCTAAATCATAAGGTAGGTACCTTCTTACTAAAACGATGAAATTTCAATTTTTTTTTTGTCGAGATTTTGTATCCTTATGGTCAATCAACATACCCCAAGCTCCATGCACTAAATTATTCTCAGATTTGAAGCCGAAATCTATGAAAAAAGGCACTCAGAAAAATTGAAAAATTGATAAATCATCCCAAATTGCTTAACACAATTTTATCTCAGGAACTATAAATGCAAATGAGCTGAAATTTTCAGGGATTGTAGTCCTTTGAAGGCGATAAAATTCAGTGAAAGTTTCAGCTTTCTATCTATAATAGAAAAAAAGTTATGACCTTTGAAAATTTTCCAAAATCTAAATCATAAGGTAGGTACCTTCTTACTAAAACGATGAAATTTCAAATTTTTTTTTTGTCGAGATTTTGTATCCTCGTGGTCAATCAACATACCCCAAGCTCCATACACTAAATTATTCTCAGATTTGAAGCCGAAATCTATGAAAAAAGGCACTCAGAAAAATTGAAAAATTGATAAATCACCCCAAATTGCTTAGCACGATTTTATCTCAGGAACTATAAGTGCAAATAAGCTGAAATTTTCAGGAATAATAGTCCTTTGAAAGCGATAAAATTCAGTGAAAGTTTCAGCTTTCTATCTATATTAGAAAAAAAGTTATGACCTTTGAAAGTTTTCCAAAATCTAAATCATAAGGTAGGTACCTTCTTACTAAAACGATGAAATTTCAATTTTTTTTTTGTCGAGATTTTGTATCCTTATGGTCAATCAACATACCCCAAGCTCCATGCACTAAATTATTCTCAGATTTGAAGCCGAAATCTATGAAAAAAGGCACTCAGAAAAATTGAAAAATTGATAAATCATCCCAAATTGCTTAACAGAATTTTATCTCAGGAACTATAAATGCAAATGAGCTGAAATTTTCAGGGATTGTAGTCCTTTGAAGGCGATAAAATTCAGTGAAAGTTTCAGCTTTCTATCTATAATAGAAAAAAAGTTATGACCTCGGAAAGTTTTCCAAAATCTAAATCATAAGGTAGGTACCTTCTTACTAAAACGATGAAATTTCAAATTTTTTTTTGGCGAGATTTTGTATCCTCATGGTCAATCAACATACCCCAAGCTCCATACACTAAATTATTCTCAGATTTGAAGCCGAAATCTATGAAAAAAGGCACTCAGAAAAATTGAAAAATTGATAAATCACCCCAAATTGCTTAGCACGATTTTATCTCAGGAACTATAAGTGCAAATAAGCTGAAATTTTCAGAAATAATAGTCCTTTGAAAGCGATAAAATTCAGTGAAAGTTTCAGCTTTCTATCTATATTAGAAAAAAAGTTATGACCTTTGAAAGTTTTCCAAAATCTAAATCATAAGGTAGGTACCTTCTTACTAAAACGATGAAATTTCAATTTTTTTTTTGTCGAGATTTTGTATCCTTATGGTCAATCAACATACCCCAAGCTCCATGCACTAAATTATTCTCAGATTTGAAGCCGAAATCTATGAAAAAAGGCACTCAGAAAAATTGAAAAATTGATAAATCATCCCAAATTGCTTAACACAATTTTATCTCAGGAACTATAAATGCAAATGAGCTGAAATTTTCAGGGATTGTAGTCCTTTGAAGGCGATAAAATTCAGTGAAAGTTTCAGCTTTCTATCTATAATAGAAAAAAAGTTACGACCTTTGAAAATTTTCCAAAATCTAAATCATAAGGTAGGTTCCTTCTCACTAAAACGATGAAATTTCAATTTTTTTTTTGTCGAGATTTTGTATCCTTATGGTCAATCAACATACCCCAAGCTCCATGCACTAAATTATTCTCAGATTTGAAGCCGAAATCTATGAAAAAAGGCACTCAGAAAAATTGAAAAATTGATAAATCATCCCAAATTGCTTAACACAATTTTATCTCAGGAACTATAAATGCAAATGAGCTGAAATTTTCAGGGATTGTAGTCCTTTGAAAGCGATAAAATTCAGTGAAAGTCGCAGCTTTCTATCTATAATAGAAAAAAAGTTATGACCTTTGAAAGTTTTCCAAAATCTAAATCATAAGGTAGGTACCTTCTTACTAAAACGATGAAATTTCAAATTTTTTTTTTGTCGAGATTTTGTATCCTCGTGGTCAATCAACATACCCCAAGCTCCATACACTAAATTATTCTCAGATTTGAAGCCGAAATCTATGAAAAAAGGCACTCAGAAAAATTGAAAAATTGATAAATCACCCCAAATTGCTTAGCACGATTTTATCTCAGGAACTATAAGTGCAAATAAGCTGAAATTTTCAGGAATAATAGTCCTTTGAAAGCGATAAAATTCAGTGAAAGTTTCAGCTTTCTATCTATATTAGAAAAAAAGTTATGACCTTTGAAAGTTTTCCAAAATCTAAATCATAAGGTAGGTACCTTCTTACTAAAACTATGAAATTTCAATTTTTTTTTTGTCGAGATTTTGTATCCTTATGGTCAATCAACATACCCCAAGCTCCATGCACTAAATTATTCTCAGATTTGAAGCCGAAATCTATGAAAAAAGGCACTCAGAAAAATTGAAAAATTGATAAATCATCCCAAATTGCTTAACACAATTTTATCTCAGGAACTATAAATGCAAATGAGCTGAAATTTTCAGGGATTGTAGTCCTTTGAAGGCGATAAAATTCAGTGAAAGTTTCAGCTTTCTATCTATAATAGAAAAAAAGTTATGACCTCGGAAAGTTTTCCAAAATCTAAATCATAAGGTAGGTACCTTCTTACTAAAACGATGAAATTTCAAATTTTTTTTTGGCGAGATTTTGTATCCTCATGGTCAATCAACATACCCCAAGCTCCATACACTAAATTATTCTCAGATTTGAAGCCGAAATCTATGAAAAAAGGCACTCAGAAAAATTGAAAAATTGATAAATCACCCCAAATTGCTTAACACGATTTTATCTCAGGAACTATAAGTGCAAATAAGCTGAAATTTTCAGGGATTGTAGTCCTTTGAAAGGGATAAAATTCAGTGAAAGTTTCAGCTTTCTATCTATAATAGAAAAAAAGTGATGACCTTTGAAAGTTTTCCAAAATCTAAATCATACTTCTTACTAAAACGATGAAATTTGAAAATTTTTTTTTGTCGAGATTTTGTATCCTTATGGTCAATCAACATACCCCAAGCTCCATACACTAAATTATTCTCAGATTTGAAGCCGAAATCTATGAAAAAAGGCACTCAGAAAAATTGAAAAATTGATAAATCATCCCAAATTGCTTAACACAATTTTATCTCAGGAACTATAAATGCAAATGAGCTGAAATTTTCAGGGATTGTAGTCCTTTAAAAGCGATAAAATTCAGTGAAAGTTTCAGCTTTCTATCTATAATAGAAAAAAAGTTATGACCTTTGAAAGTTTTCCAAAATCTAAATCATAAGGTAGGTTCCTTCTCACTAAAACGATGAAATTTCAATTTTTTTTTTGTCGAGATTTTGTATCCTTATGGTCAATCAACATACCCCAAGCTCCATACACTAAATTATTCTCAGATTTGAAGCCGAAATCTATGAGAAAAGGCACTCAGAAAAATTGAAAAATTGATAAATCATCCCAAATTGCTTAACACAATTTTATCTCAGGAACTATAAATGCAAATGAGCTGAAATTTTCAGGGATTGTAGTCCTTTAAAAGCGATAAAATTCAGTGAAAGTTTCAGCTTTCTATCTATAATAGAAAAAAAGTTATGACCTTTGAAAGTTTTCCAAAATCTAAATCATAAGGTAGGTTCCTTCTCACTAAAACGATGAAATTTCAATTTTTTTTTTGTCGAGATTTTGTATCCTTATGGTCAATCAACATACCCCAAGCTCCATACACTAAATTATTCTCAGATTTGAAGCCGAAATCTATGAAAAAAGGCACTCAGAAAAATTGAAAAATTGATAAATCACCCCAAATTGCTTAACACGATTTTATCTCAGGAACTATAAGTCCAAATGAGCTGAAGTTTCCAGGAATAGTGTGATTGTAGTCCTCTCTTGCCATAAGTTTCCTAACCAATTATAAAAAAAAAATGGCACAATGTTGGCAGAGAAAGTATTAATTACCTGTCAAAAAATGAATATGGAACCTTATCGAAAAGCAAATCTAAATAGAGAAATTCAAAAGCTTGGAATTGAAACAACATTAATGAGATCCGACACTGGAAAACATTTAAATTTTTCCAGATAAATTCTTTTTCAAACGTCCAACTGAATTATTAAAAAATTCTCTGCCTTAATCGGTCTGTTAATCACGATATTCGACTATGCACCTGAAAATCTAGCGCGCGATCTAAATGGAATTCCACCAATCTGAAACACCCAATCCGTGCTTTTTCCATGCTCCTGGAAAAAAAAATCCAGCCAGACATTCGTTCCCGTTTAATCGGTATTTATGGATAAAGCCAATAATGGAAACGTGATCCAGGAGTCGACTTTAATCGAAATTGCGTGTAAACTTACATGGAAAAACTGGAAACAAATTAGTATTTTCGTAACAGCCAAAAGCAGACTCAATTTAATGTCGTAATTTTGCCTCCCTAGATAAAAGTTTCTCATGTTTTCGATTGTCTGGACACTTAAATGAAAATCCGGGGCCCCGGAGATATATAATTATTATTACGACCCGGTTTTTAGATGAAAGATGAAGAACTTTATATTTTATAAAATAATATTGCATTTTTCGAAGGAAAAATCCTCGACGACGACTTCCTTCCACTTCGATAAAGTTACTTCCGGTTTGAGGATCAACATAAACATTATTCATGTATATTTTTTTTACAGATTGGACGCTAGAGACAAGGCTATAGGACACGCTAAAGAGTGGAAGGACGAGAAAATTTTAGGCCAAAGATCAAAATTTCGTCTAAAAGATCGTCCGGCCACTTTAACATTAAACTCAGTACGTGAAGACGATGATGGCATCTATTATTGCAGAGTGGATTTCAAACAAACACCCACTCGAAATATTAAAGTTAATCTAACCACAATTGGTAAGTGTGTGCCTCATGGCATCAAACCTTAATCCTAAATTTATGCATTTTTATTTTATTTTTTTTGGCTTCGAGAAGGATTTAGAGTTTTGCATTTCGGCTCCGCGATAAAAGGCTTTTTGACTCTGGAGCGAAATTTATAGTTTGTGCCGGATTAAATTTGACAATTTTTTAAAAAATCTGGAATCAATTATTATGAGAAATTGCTTTACTAGAAGACATATATCTGGGGCTTACGACTGTTCCAACCTCTGACGTTAATCTTCTATGAAACGATTTTCTTTTATACGTAATATAAAATTAAACATAATTCTAGGAGCTGGATATATTTTAAGCCGCCAATATTATGCTCATTAGCTAGATAATTATGGTCCGAGTTTATTAATGACTTTATTCCCAAAACCGTTTTATTTAAACCGATAATTTAATTTACAAAATTAGCTTACCTGTCGAAGGCCATTTTGCTTCTATTAAAAGCAAAAGTTTATCATTTGATTTATCGATAATAAAGTTTAAGTGCTTCCAGAGGGAAAGTTTACGCTTTCAACGTCACTTAATTTGAAGTGACCAAATGGTTAATGGACGCAAAAGTTTGTGTTTGAACATTAAAGTTTTTTTTTTGTTGCAGTACCAACCGAAAAACTCAAAATAATCGAAGGTTCCGATGATAAGCACATCAAGGATTACAAATTGGGACCTTTTAACGAAGGCACTTCTGTTAATATCACTTGTGAAGCTTCTGGAGGTGAGTGATCCAGATTATTTGAAAACTCTTAACCTCAATCGCTTTATAGATTTTCTGAAAATTTATTTAATTAAAAAAAAAAAATCGAAATTAATATAATCCAATTAGACAAGTTCGGTCGTGGTGAGAGGGAGTGGAAGTTCGTGCCCCTTTTACTTTGTTAGCGGAGCCTCGGAGAAAAAAAGCCAGTAATTTCGGGGATGTGACCGAGTGACGGGCTCTCGTTAAACTTTAAAGTTCGCCCATAATATATTTTGTACGAGACGGCCTTTATAATGACTAGACTGAAAAACTATTGACGCAATGCTACAAGCGGGATATTCGAAGGTTTTTGAGACAAAGGGACAATAGGGTACTTTTACATTATTTGAAATTTTGACTTTAAATGATGATTTGAGAATGAATTTTGAAGATTTTAAGATGAAATTTTCAGGTTTTTATCTGCGGGATGAGCCTCCTCATTAATATGTTTTCCAAATACAATATTGACCTGAGAACAATCATCTACCAACTTTTCCGTCTTCTGATTGGCTTAGAAATTCAATTTTGCTCTTGATTGAGTTTGAAATTCGAATTTTTAATATTCCCGGCTTTTAATTTGAAGTCGATATTTGGTTCAGAAAAAAAATTATGACATTTTTTCTAATTGAACTTGGAAAATTTCATGAAAAATTGTTTTGACAGGCTGTCAAAAATAGGCCAATTTTTTGTGTAACTTCAAACTTTCAAAAATCATTATTTGAAGACTTCCCAATAAGATAAAACAAATTTGAAGTCGATATTTGGTTCAGAAGCAAAGTTATGACATTTTCTCTAATTGAACTTGAAAAATACTATGAAAAATTGTTTTGACAGGCTGTCAAAAATAAAAAAATAAGCCAATTTTTTGTGCAGCTTCAAACTTTCAAAAATCATAGTTTGAAAATTTCCCAATAAGATAAAACAAATTTGAAGTCGATATTTGGTTCAGAAGCAAAGTTATGACATTTTCTCTAATTAAACTTGAAAAATACTATGAAAAATTATTTTGACAGGCTGTCAAAAATAGGCCAATCATTTGTGCAGCTTCAAACTTTCAAAAATCATAGTTTGAAGATTTCTCATTAAGATACAAAAAATTTGAAGTCGATATTTGGTTCAGAAGCAAAGTTATGACATTTTCTCTAATTGAACTTGAAAAATGCTATGAAAAATTATTTTGACAGGCTGTCAAAAATAGGCCAATTTTTTGTACAACTTCAAACTTTCAAAAATCATTACTTGAAGACTTCCGAATAAGATAAAACAAACTTGAAGTCGATATTTGATTCAGAAGCAAAGTTATTGAACTTGAAAAATACTATGAAAAATTGTTTTGACAGGCTGTCAAAAATAAGCCAATTTTTTGTGCAGCTTCAAACTCTCAAAAATCATAGTTTGAAGACTTCCTAATAAGATAAAACAAATTTGAAGTCGATATTTGGTTCAGAAGTAAAGTTATGACATTTTTTCTAATTCAACTTGAAAAATAATATGAAAACTTGTTTTGATAGGCTGTCAAAAATAGGCCAATTATTTTTGCAATTTCAAACTTTCAAAAATCATTATTTGAATACTTCCCAATAAGATAAAACCAATTTGAAGTCGATATTTGGTTCAGAAGCAAAGTTATGACATTTTTTCTAATTCAACTTGGAAAATTTTATGAAAAATTGTTTTGACAGGCTGTCAAAAATAGGCCAATTTTCTGTGCAACTCCAAACTATCAAAAATCATTACTTGAAGATTTCTCAATAAGATAAAACAAATTTGAACTTGATATTTGGTTCAGAAGCAAAGTTATGACATTTTTTCTAATTGAACTTGAAAAATACTATGAAAAATTGTTTTGACAGGCTGTCAAAAATAGGCCAATTATTTGTGCAACTTCAAACTTTCAAGAATCATTATTTGAAGACTTTTCAATAGGATAAAACAAATTTGAAGTCGATATTTGGTTCAGAAGCAAAGTTATGACATTTTTTCTGATTGAACTGAAAAATAATATGAAAAATTGTTTTGACAGGCTGTCAAAAATAGGCCAATTATTTGTGCAACTTCAAACTTTCAAAAATCATTATTTGAAGACTTTTCAATAGGATTAAACAAATTTGAAGTCGATATTTGGTTCAGAAGCAAAGTTATGACATTTTTTCTAATTGAACTTGAAAAATACTATGAAAAATTGTTTTGACAGGCTGTCAAAAATAGGCCAATTATTTGTGCAGCTTCAAACTTTCAAAAATCATTATTTGAAGACTTCCCAATAAGATAAAATAAATTTAAACTCGATATTTGGTTCAGAAGCAAAGTTATGACATTTTTTCTAATTGAACTTGAAAAATACTATGAAAAATTGTTTTGACAGGCTGTCAAAAATAGGCCAATTATTTGTGCAGCTTCAAACTTTCAAAAATCATTATTTGAAGACTTCCCAATAAGATAAAATAAATTTGTACTCGATATTTGGTTCAGAAGCAAAGTTATGACATTTTCTCTAATTGAACTTGAAAAATACTATGAAAAATAGTTTTGACAGGCTGTCAAAAATAGGCCAATTATTTGTGCAGCTTCAACTTTCAAAAATCATTACTTGAAGACTTTCCAATAAGATAAAACAAATTTGAACTCAATATTTGGTTCAGAAGCAAAGTTATGACATTTTTTCTAATTGAACTTGAAAAATACTATGAAAAATTGTTTTGACAGGCTGTCAAAAATAGGCGAATTATTTGTGCAACTTCAAACTTTCAAAAATCATAGTTTGAAGACTTCCCAATAAGAAAAAACAAATTTGAAGTCGATATTTGGTTAAGAAGCAAAGTTATGACATTTTTTCTAATTGAACTTGAAAAATACTATGAAAAATTGTTTTGACAGGCTGTCAAAAATAAGCCAATTTTTTGTGCAGCTTCAAACTTTCAAAAATCATAGTTTGAAGACTTCCCAATAAGATAAAATAAATTTGAAGTCGATATTTGGTTGAGAAGCAAAGTTATGACATTTTTTCTTATTGAACTTGAAAAATACTATGAAAAATTGTTTTGACAATCTGTCAAAAATAAGCCAATTTTTTGTGCAACTTCAAACTTTCAAAAATCATTATTTGAATACTTCCCAATAAGATAAAACCAATTTAAAGTCGATATTTGGTTCAGAAGCAAAATTATGACATATTTTCTAATTGAACTTGAAAAATACTATGAAAAATTGTTTTGACAGGCTGTCAAAAATAGGCCAATTATTTGTGCAGCTTCAAACTTTCAAAAATCATTATTTGAAGACTTCCCAATAAGATAAAATAAATTTAAACTCGATATTTGGTTCAGAAGCAAAGTTATGACATTTTTTCTAATTGAACTTGAAAAATACTATGAAAAATTGTTTTGACAGGCTGTCAAAAATAGGCCAATTATTTGTGCAGCTTCAAACTTTCAAAAATCATTATTTGAAGACTTCCCAATAAGATAAAATAAATTTGTACTCGATATTTGGTTCAGAAGCAAAGTTATGACATTTTCTCTAATTGAACTTGAAAAATACTATGAAAAATAGTTTTGACAGGCTGTCAAAAATAGGCCAATTATTTGTGCAGCTTCAACTTTCAAAAATCATTACTTGAAGACTTTCCAATAAGATAAAACAAATTTGAACTCAATATTTGGTTCAGAAGCAAAGTTATGACATTTTTTCTAATTGAACTTGAAAAATACTATGAAAAATTGTTTTGACAGGCTGTCAAAAATAGGCCAATTATTTGTGCAACTTCAAACTTTCAAAAATCATAGTTTGAAGACTTCCCAATAAGAAAAAACAAATTTGAAGTCGATATTTGGTTAAGAAGCAAAGTTATGACATTTTTTCTAATTGAACTTGAAAAATACTATGAAAAATTGTTTTGACAGGCTGTCAAAAATAAGCCAATTTTTTGTGCAGCTTCAAACTTTCAAAAATCATAGTTTGAAGACTTCCCAATAAGATAAAATAAATTTGAAGTCGATATTTGGTTGAGAAGCAAAGTTATGACATTTTTTCTTATTGAACTTGAAAAATACTATGAAAAATTGTTTTGACAATCTGTCAAAAATAAGCCAATTTTTTGTGCAACTTCAAACTTTCAAAAATCATTATTTGAATACTTCCCAATAAGATAAAACCAATTTAAAGTCGATATTTGGTTCAGAAGCAAAATTATGACATCTTTTCTAATTGAACTTGACAAATATTATGAAAAATTGTTTTGACAGGCTGTCAAAAATAGGCCAATTTTTTGTACAACTCCAAACTTTCAAAAATCAATACTTGAAGACTTTCCAATAAGATAAAAGAAATTTGAAGTCGATATTTGGTTCAGAAGCAAAGTTATGACATTTTTTCTAATTCAACTTGGAAAATTTTGTGAAATATTGTTTTGACAGGTAGGTTTTTAATTTTCTCGCCTTTTGATTGGCTTAGAGATTCAATTTTTTAATATTCCCTGCTTTGCATTATCTTATCAAGGTTACGAGCACGTAATTATTTCTAGTCACGTTGAATATTCTTAAACAATAACGCCTTAGTAACTTCGTTACAAGTGGATTTATGTCTTAGGATCTTCAAAAAAGAGTAGATTGCTGCAGAGCTCGCTCCGCTCGTCTTGCAGACTATTCCAATAAGTTCTCGAGTAGTCATTTACTCGTTATCAGGATTACCAGAACACTATAATATCTACTCACGTTGAATAATCTCAAACTACAATTCTTTAGTGACTTCTTTACAAGTAGATTCCTTACTTAGGGATTTTAAAAATGAAGAAATTATGGCTGCGGAACGAGCGGAGCGAGTTCCGCAGAGGTCTAGTTATTTCTAGAACTTCAATTCACTCGATTTACTCCTCTCCCTGCTCGGGCGCCAAATTTGTAAGGCGCCTGTTTAGTGTCAGGAGTAGGGGCCTGTGCGGTGTCGAAAGTTGGGGCCTGCTCGGTGTCGGCAGTTGGGGCCTTTTGAAGTTTATTTTTTCAGTTTTCTCGCCTTTTGATTGGTTTAGAGATTCAATTTTTCAATATTCCCTACTTTTGATTGGCTGCATTATCTTATCAGAGTTACTAGCACATAATTATTTCTATTCACGTTGAATAATCTTAAAGTATAACGCTGGGATCTTCAAAAACGAGTAGATTGCAGATTGTTCCAATAAGTTCTAGAGTAGTCATATACTCGTTTTCAGGGTTACCAGAACACTATAATCTCTACTCATGTTGAATAATTTCAAACTATAACTCCTTAGTAACTTCTCTACAGGTAGATTGCTGCCTTAGGGATTTTAAAAAGGAATAGATGGCTGCGGAACTCGCTCCGCTCGTCCCGCAGAGGTCTAGTTATTTCTAGGACTACAATTTACTCCTGTCCCTGCTCGGGCGTCAAATTTTTGAGGCACTTGTTTGGTGTCAGGAGTTAGGGCTTGTTTGATGTCGAAAGTTGGGGCCTGCTCAGTGTCGGGAGTTGGGAGCTGTTGAATTCAACAACATGTAACCCGAAACCACATTACTCCACCATCCATTCGGAATGTTAATATACATATATTATTCTGCCGGCTGGATGAGGAAATTTGGCCCGGTAGTGGAATAGATGGCTGCGGAACTATTTCTAGAACTACAATTTACTCGATTTACTCCTCTCCCTGCTCGGGCGCCAAATTTGTGAGGCGCCTGTTTGGTGTCAGGAGTTGGGGCGTGTTCGGTGTCAAAAGTTGGAGCCTGCTAGAAATTCAATTTTTAAATATTCCTGGCTCTTGAATGAGTTTGAATTTCAAATTTTTAATATTCCCGGCTTTTGATTGGCTTTAAAGTTTATTTTTCCAATTTTCTCGCCTTTTGACGGGCTTAGAGATTCAATTTTTTAATATTCCCTGCTTTTGATTGGCTGCATTATCTTATCAGGGTTACTAGCACGTAATAATTTCTATTCACGTTGAATATTCTTAAACCATAACGCCTTAGTGACTTCGTTACAAGTGGATTGATGTCTTAGGATCTCCAAAAATGAGTAGATTGCTGCGGAACTCGCTCCGCTCGTCCCGCAGACTATTCCAATAAGTTCTAGAGTAGTTATATATTCGTTATCAGGGTTACCAGAACACTATTATCTCTACTCACGTTGAATAATCTCAAACTACAACTCCTTTGTGACTTCTTCACAGGTAGATTGCTGCCTTAGGGATTTTAAAAAGGAATAGAGGTCTAGCTATTTCTAGAACTACAATTTACTCGATTTACTCCTGTCCCTGATCGGGCGCCAAATTTGCAACGCACCTGTTTGGTGTCGAAAAATGGGGCCTGTTCGGTGTCGGAAGTTGGGCCTGCTCGGTGTCAGGAGTTGGGAGCTGTTGAATTCAACAACATCGAGAAAGAAAAAAAAAGTTTTTGGTAACACAAAACCCCATTACTCTACCATCCACTCGAGATGTTAATATAATATATAATAATCTTCCAGCTGGATGAGGAAATTTGGCTAGCTGTGCCGAACGGATATGTGGGCAAGACGGTAATTGGCCAAAGCTCTTTAGGGCGGCAGGCATCCTTCCACCCTTGTAATTCACGAAACGGGGACAAAGAAAGGTCTAGTTATTTCTGGAACTTCAATTCACTCGATTTACTCCTGTCCCTGCTCGGGCGCCAAATTTGTAAGGCGCCTGTTTGGTGTCAGAAGTAGGGGCCTGTTCGGTGTCGAAAATTGGGGCCTGCTCGGTGTCGGAAGTTGGGATCTGTTCAGTGTCGGAAGTTAGGGCTTTTTGAAGGGCCTCCTCTAGTTCGTCCATGTCAATCTGGAGTTCGAGCGTGGGGCTAGCTGAAGGCAGTGGGCTGTGAGTCATGACCTTAGAGCAGGTAAAGCGCTGTCCTACGGACATATGGAGTAGGAACGCGCCATTCTGCTATGAAAGCTTAGGTGAAGCCAGTTTTTGGCAAGTAATTGGCACCAAATGAAATGTGAAGAATTGCATTGCCTATACCGCCATTTTTTTGGTGCCAAAATACCTGGAAAAAAACGGCCTCATTTTCCAACTCCATGTTACTACTCCTTCACCTTTACCTGCTCTAAGGTCATGACGGTATGCTTCCTAACAACAAATGACAGGGATGTATTGAGAAAGGCACTGTGGTGCGGTTTGGTCAGTCCCTGGACAAGAGAGGCAGTACTGGTAAAAAAATTTCATTCCCCAAGAACAAATAATGAAACCTAAAAAAAAATTCAACAACATCACAGAAACACTTCGGGTCCAATAATGTGAGCCATTAATCTTTGAAAAGTTGCCGGTGCACAATGTAATCCAAATGGCATAATTCAGAATTGAAATAAGCCAAGGCCCTGGTACTGTGAACAAATTCTGGCAGGAGTGAAGGAGATGTTAATTTTGATAATGAAAGCTCGACTTCCCTTATGATTCTCGGAAGGGAAGCAACGACGGTAATCTCACTTTTCCGGATATGCTGTCGATATTCAGGTAATAGATTTCGGTACAACAACCACTACAGTTCTTGGTCGGAGTTAATATTGCCATGCCTTCTTATTAGTGTTTGCAGATCGGCGATGTAACGGTGCGTGGGTTCGTTGGGTTTTTGTAGTCGAAGGCTGATTTCAATTTATAAATCGGCAGTAACCAAATTCAGAATATCGGCCTCATTGGGCAGTATTCGCTGCATACGCATATGCTTGGTCTTTAGTGTCTAATAACTTTACCTGTAAAATTTAAGTAACATCGTTACACACCCCCTCTTTAGAAAAAAACCTTCCTGCTTGGCACTGGAGTTGGTCTGGGTACGGCTAAACTTGTACTGGCGGAAGCATCAACAGGTCCCTGCTCGGGCGCCAAATTTGTAAGGCGCTATTTTTGTGTGGTCAGGGCGGGTTTATTTGGCAGTATGTCTTGGGCGTGACCCTCAGGATTAAAGTGGTTGAGGGCCCACGTGCACCAGGCAGCTTTTTCACAGTAGAGAAACGGTAATCCAGGAGTCATAAGCGATGCTTAATCAAGACTCGGCGAGTTTCCGGTATAAATAACTGAAAAGTCCTTAACTGTTTCTTTCTTTTCTTCTTCTTTAAAAACATTGTATAACATTACAGAACACTGAAGTTATTATACTCTCAATTCCAGGTCGTCCTTTGCCAAAAGTCACTTGGTGGCTGGAAAACACCCTTCTAGACGAATCCATGGACTACGTCACCAACGACCAACAAGTTACCAAAGTCCGAAACGTCTTGACAATCGAAAAGTTGGACAGAAAAAGCCTCAACTCAAAGTTCACTTGTCAAGCGTCCAACAGCCGATTGGTCCATCCTATTGCTAGCACCATCACTATGGACGTCAATTGTAAGTGGATTGAAATAAATAAAAATCCCGACTTTAACTGGCCCCATTAAATTCCCAGTTGCTCTCGTAAAACTGTTTTAAGTACCAATTGATATCAATTTGTGGAAAAAGGCTCTGTATGTAGTTTTTAATTAAAAGCTAAAAGTAAATACACGCATATACTTCTTCTAATAAAACTTTTGCCGAGATTATTTCAAAAGTAAGTTGACTTGGAAACTTTAATCTTGAAACTTTCGCAGTCCCTCCCAACTTGTAAGTTTTTCTGTTGGAAGGAATTTTGTGTCTTTTGACCGGAAAATGATTTGGGTGGTTTGGATTTACACTATTTTCATGTAAATAAATTCATAATTATAAAAGCAATGAATGTATGAGGAGAGTAAAGATGAGCTTTGAATATTCAATGTTTAATTTCGTCTAAAGGATTTAATAATAAATCCTATGTTTAGAGCAAAAAAAAAGTCCTGTTTGTTTTCCACGCAAGCTTACGTTTCTTTCTATTTGGAAAAAGCTTTTATGAACTTTGATGGCCACCGGTTTAAGCTCATTTCGTCCGGATATTGAACATTCCAGACTTCCGACTGGATTCGGATTACCAGGGCATATCCTGTGTGTCGTGTATGTGTAGCACATGGAATAGTAGAAAAAAAGGCCTTCCCGTTTCCAGGCGGAAAAACAATTTCGATTAATTAAAAAAATTCCCATGCTATTTGACCTAATGAACTGTTACTTTTTGGATTATTACACAATCTTTAAACTGATGACTCATACTTTTTTATTGTGCTAAAGTTTGAAGAGATTTGGTTTCGTTGCCTTTTGCATCAAGGTTGCTCTGATTTTTTGCGATTTTTTCTGGATTTGGTCTGGATACGAATAAAATTTGAACTGGCGGAATCATCAATAGGTCCCTGCTCGGGCGCCAAATTTATAAGGCACTAATTTTGTGTAGTCAGGGCGGGTTCCCAGTTAGGGTTAATTCTACCATGTATAAGGATTTCTCCAATTTTTGGTCCTGTATATGATGTTGAATTTGACGAAAATGTTTTGTACAAGACGACATGATGTCTGAATTTCAAGAGAATTTTAAAGGATTATAATAAAAATATCCTGTCTTAAGTGACGCTATTGTCAGGCTGAAAAATATAAAAGAAATATTCTGGATTCTAGGGTCTATTGGGAGGTGTTATCAAAAGTGTTCGTTCTTTTACTGGTACTGCTGTAACTCGTACGACCGTGAAGTGTCTAGTGTAGCGAGTGCCTGTGTTAAATGGGAATGTAGAAAACTAGGAATGACTGAAAGGAACCACTTCCACCCAAGGTACTTGAGTACCGACGCACGCTTGGGAAGATCCTAATTAGTTGTAGGGCTGGTTTTCAATCTTTCTTTTCTGCGCGAAAAACCAATGTGCAGGACGGAACGCCCTGTATCTAGTGTTTCGTAGTTGCTGAAATGTTTCAGGACAGTGAGCCCTGAATGTAGGTTTAGTGTTTCTTCCGTATAGAAGTCGAGGGTACTGGTAGGATAGGTAGTACTGAGACACAATGAATACTAATTGAATCTGAATTTATCAAAAATTTCAATGTTGAGAGGAAGGTTCAGTGGCGGCTCGTCAGAGGAGGCAGGGGAGGCTAAGCCTCCTCCAAAAACTTGAAAATTCAATCTCAGTTTTTTATTCCTGATTCCTAATTAAAATAATAATTCAGGCCGGAGTAATACGAGCCCGAAGGGCCGGAGTTATACGCGAGCCCGAAGGGCCGGAGTTATACGCGTGCCCGAAGGGCCGGAGTAACACGCGAGCCCGAAGGGCCGGAGTTATATGCGAGCCCGAAGGCCAGAGTACTACGAGCCCGAAGGGCCGGAGTTATACGCGAGCCCAATCTATAATTCTATTGGTCAGCGGATAATTTGGAGCCAATCAAAAATCGGGAATATTCAAAATGTGATTTTTAGTCGATATTCCGAGTTTCAGCTCTCTCCGATGTACCGGAAAAAAGTTCAATAATTTGGAAACTATCTGGGTATTACGGCTTATTTGAACTGTGCATGCGCATAACTAAATTCAAAACACCGGCCTTATTGGGCAGTATTTGTTGCACACGGTCAATGGGGTTGATCTGGATATGGCTAAACTTGTACTGGCGGAAGCATCAACAAGTCCCTGCTCGGGCACCAAATTTGTAACGCAGTAATTTTGTGTAGTCAGGGCGGGTTCCCAGTTAGGGTTTATTCGGAGGCATGTCCATGTGTAAGGATTTTGTTACTAATTCTACGACTTTTTGTCCTGTATATGATGTTGGATTTGACTAAAATGTTCTGTACAAGACGACATGATGTCTTAAGTGACGTTATTTTCAGGCTGAAAAATATAAAAGAAAGATTCTGGATTCTAGGGTCTATTGGGAGGTTTTATCAAAAGTGTTCGTACTTTTACTGGTAGTGCTGCAACTCGTACGACTGTGAATTCACTTAGGTCGGTAATTGGGAAGTGCCTGGTGTAGCGAGTGCCTGTGTTAAATGGAAATGTAGAAAACTAGGAATGACTGAAAGGAACCACTTCCACCCTAGGTACTTGGGTACCGACGCAGGCTTGAGAAGATCCTAATTAGTTGTAGGGCTGGTTTTCAACCTTTCTTTTTTCGGCGGAGGACCAATTTGCAGGACGGAACGCCCTGTATCTAGTGTTTCGTAGTTGCTGATATGTTTCAGGACAGTGAGCCCTGAATGTAGGTTTAAGCTTCCGTATAAAAGTCGAGGGTACTGGTAAGATAGGTAGTAGTGAGACAAAATGAATACTAATGAGAATTTATTAAAAATTCTAATGTTGAGAGGAAGGTTCAGTGGCGGCTCGTCAGAGGAGGCGGCAGGGGAGGCTAAGCCTCCTCCAAAAAATTGAAAATTCAATCTCAGTTTTTTATTCCTGATTCCTAATTAAAATAATAATTCAGGCCGGAGTAATACGAGCTCGAAGGGCCGGAGTTATACGCGAGCCCGAAGGGCCGGAGTTATACGCGAGCCCGAATGGCCGGAGTAATACACGAGCCCGAAGGGCCGGAGTTGTATGCGAGCCCGAAGGGCCGGAGTTATACGCGAGCCCGAAGGGCCAGAGTTATACGCTAGCCCGAAGGGCTAGAGTTATTTTAATCACGGAGCCCAGTCTATAATTCTATTGTTCAGCGGATAATTTGGAATTTTTTCGACAAAAAAATTCAAATTTTGAATTTCCAAAAAAAAAAAAAATCTATCGGATAGAGGAGCAAAAAAATACGTCAGTGGCGCCCTCACCATTCTGCACTGATTAAACTATCAACCCACACCTAATAATTTTTCGCTGAGCAAACCGAGCATATTATGGGCCTCTTGTTTATTCATTAACAAGAGGGGCTACAATATTTAAACAATTAATTTGCAACCTAATTTTCCGGCTGGAAAAAAGAAATAATACATTATTCGGCGTCACGATAACGCGGATAAATCCCTAACTTTATGACACTGTGTTAAAACTTTGGCAATTCGCGGAGATTTCGGCTTTGGCATAGCAATAAAAGGCGTCAAAAATCGTTCGACTATTATCTTGAAAGCTTCTCGTCTCGTTCTACTATAGTGCAAATAATCCCAAGTTTGTGTAATTCAAACTTTTATTTTTCCACAGCCCAAAACTACAATAATAATAATAATTATTAGTAGTCGGCAAGCAATAAAAAAATGTGAAACTCTCACACAAAGTACAATGGAGCCAAATTCGAAATTATTGTTTAAATACTAGTTCCTTTGTGTCCGCGCTTTAAGCCGAATTCGATCTTTCAAAGACCCTCCTCTCTCTCCGAGTATTTGACACAAAAGACCCGCAATATTAAACTAGTGCCTGCAGTATTGGCTTTTCGAATTGCACCACCAGAGACGAAACAAAATAATGTAAAAAGATTTTTAAAGATTTGCCACAACCGCCCCGGAGGCGCACATCCGGAGCGCGGAGAACGAGCTTAAAGGCAAATTTGAATTTTAAAAATTCATTTCGGTATTGTCTTTTGCTGGCGCGGCCTTGTTTTAATAAATGAAATTTTAAAAAAGGCCAAAAAAAAATAACACAAGATGTCTTTTTTACGGTTTTACCCACGTATATACGCGGACGATTCGAAAGCAAATTCGAAAAGTCCAATTACTTTGTACAGCCGCAATTTGAATATGAAAGGCTTCAGACGTCACACAAGAAAGCTAGTTATTTTCTATGATATAATAGCATCAGATGTGTTATTTAGCTGGGTGTTCACGTCAAATTTACAAAGATAACTTCAAATCCAGCACTCATAGAAAAATAGGCTGGAACCAGTGACAAATAATTAATTCAGCTTACCAAACAAATAAGGAATACTTCTGAAGCCTGTTTAAGAATAATATTTAGTCGATTTTCTCAATTTTTGTAGAATTTTTTTCTGTTTTTAGTTTTTCCATCTAAATTTTTGTCTATTCCCGGCTCTTGGACTGTGTGCCTGAAATAGAAACAATAGACTTTTTTCTACGAATGTGCGGAAGAGTGCACTTTTCCGCACGCATTTCAGGTCATGAAATTACCACTTTTTCGCACTAGTGTTTATTATTTTATAACGATGTTGCTAAAATTTCCTGGGATTGAATGTATGCTTATGGTGAAATTTTGTATGTAATTACTTTACCGCTTAACTATAGTTCGATACGCGATATTCCGCAATCGCAACGCGCTGTTTCCTACCAAATACTACAAATTTGGCGCCCGAGCAGGGACCATTCTGTGCATATCAAGCAAGTTATCACAAAAATAACGTCATCATCCGTTTCCCGTTAAAACTGTTTCTTATCTGTAAGCAACCTACTGGTCGACAATTTCAGCGACGATGGTTCGTTTTCTGTTCTTTGTCTCATGTTTGTGTCGTTTTATCCCTTTGCGGTCGAGAGTCTTTTACCGTCTGACGTCACTAAACCGTCCGTATTATACCGTATTGTTCAAAAGTAACCCCGGTTCCGATCA